GTCAGCGATCTATTACTGTGTTCTCTCTCTCTCTCTCTCTCTCTCTCTCCACATTCTGACTATATTATCACCAGACCACTCCGTTCTTTCATCTCATCAGCTCTTCCTTTCGCCATCATCACGCTGAGAGAAGGACAAGAAGAAAGGACAGAAATGGCTTCCCAGGTGCCTATGCTCGCCCTAGCCATCTCCCTCTGCCTCCTCGCCACTTGCTTCGCCCAATCCCCGGCTTCCTCCCCCTCAAACGCGCCGTCAACCATGGTCACTCCCCCGACCGCCTTCGCCGCGCCTCCAACCACACCGTCTCCCCCTCCCGCCACCGTCCCCCCGCCGACGGCCATCCCATCCCCCTCCACACCACCTCCGGTTACCACCCCGCCGCTCGCCACCCCACCTCCGGCCTTGGTTCCCATTGCGTCGTCGCCACCGCCCGCACCGCTGGCTCCAGCAGTTGCTCCAGCTCCCCTAACAACGGTGTCCCCTGCACCGGCTCCGAATGCAGCGTCGCCAATTTCGTCGACGTCTCCGACGACGCCGCCATCTCCTAGTCCCTCTGCTTCTGCGACTCCGGCCGATGGCGGTTCCCGGGCTTACGTGCATGGGGTCAGCATGAGACTGACAGCGTTCCTTGGGGGACTTGCGTTGCTTCTGTAGAGGTTACTCAACTTTGGTGCTCTGAGTTCATGGATTCTACGTATTATTTAGTGTAATAATCTTTCTACTTCATGTTCTTGGTCGTTTGACCATTACCTTATGGAGAAGATTGATCAGGCTATTGCAACCACAGGATTTGTTGAAGATGAAGGATGATGAGTCTCACTCGGGAATCTTTGATATAATTTTTCCTTTTGTTAATATTCACGTGGAAAACTCTACATTGTGATTATCATTGGTTACTTTGAGTTGAAATTATAGTTAAATACCTAAATTATTTTAGTATTTTATAATGTTCTAAAAAAATAGTAATATCATTTTAAGTTTTAATTAATAATAAAATGGTTATTGGATGATGGAGATTTTTTCTCTTTCTTTTTTAGAATTATATATATATATATATATATATATATATATATATATATATATATATATATATATAAAGTTAGATTTAAAGAAATAAATACCAAGCTCGTAAAAACACGCAAGCGCGGGTGGAGGAGCAAGTTAGTTGCGGACGCTTCACATCCTCTCGTTGCTGCTTTAGTGGCGCCGGTGACGCTCGTACGATTCCCTTCATCTTCTCCATCACTCGGCTGCCTCGGCACACCCAAACGGCGCCCGCACTTTCCATGGCCGCGGCGACCTCCCCCTCTTCTTTCTCATTCCTTCGTCTTCATCCCTTATCCTCCTTCCCCTCTTCTCTCCGCCGTTGCCGCCGGACGATATCGACATCTCGTTGTCGAGCCATGGCCCCGATTGTCGCATCAATCGACAACACCCGGAAGGAGGAGATCGTCGTCGTTGGCGCCGGAATCGCCGGCCTCGCCACCGCTCTCTCCCTCCATAGGTACTTTATCTCCTCCCCCTTCCGATTAGTGGTGGGCTCACGAGATTGTCCGATCCTAATGCAGGCTTGGGGTTGGTTCAGTGGTGCTGGAGCAAGGAGAATCGCTCCGGGCCGGAGGCACCTCGCTGACGCTCTTTAAGAACGGGTGGCGCGTCTTGGATTCCATCGGCGTCGCTGACGAACTTCGGGCGCAGTTCCTTCAGATCCAAGGGTATGATTTGAACCCTAAGGATGGCCTTCCTTGGGGGGGAAATATTGCTTTGATTGCGATGTGTTGTTGCGTCTGAACTCGTTGATGGTGTCAGCTTCGTACAGGCTGGTGATGAGAGCGGATGATGGAAGAGAGCTTCGGTCGTTCGTGTTTGAAGAAGTACCAGGGTAACAGCTGTGCTCTTGTTCTAGTTACAGTAATTTGTGGAATTTGGCTCTGATGGTGCTGGTCTGATGGTCGACGCAGGCAGGAAGTTCGAGCAGTAGAGAGGAGAGTGCTGCTCGAGACTCTAGCTAGCCGATTGCCACCAAACACGATATCCTTCTCGTCCAGATTGAAATCCATTATAAAAGAACGAAATCAGGGATCATTGCTAGAACTTGAGGATGGTGGCCGCATACGTGCAAAGGTACATAGTTGAAAACCTTCGAATTAGAAGGTTTCTGCATTGGATTAGTGCTTGGTTTCGTGCATACTGTTCTGATTTGGAGAAGCTTCAAAGTCACTAATGCTTAAAGCTACGAAGTCATATATTTTAGTTGAAACAGAATGTGTGGATACGTTCAGATTCCCTCCAAATGTGCAGACCATATAGTTCCTTTCTCATTAGAACGATTCTTGGGGAAAATGCATGTTCCAGGACTTCTATCCCACTGTTGGGCTTCACTAAACTTTGCATCTAGCTTTATTTATACTTATGAACCTTTTTATGACTTTTTGAATAGCTCTCTCTCCTCAAGGATTGCCCATGTCATCCTGTGGAGCTGCCATTGCATGTTTATCATGTTCAATGAAATATATTATGCCAACTTGGTTAAGGGCCTACAAGCCTGTTCCTGTGGCAAGGCGATACTTGGTCGTGGCCAAAATTAGGTGGAAAGGATGCATAGAATTTTATGTAATTTTAATTGGCTACATAATGTTCCTTTTGGATTGGTTCTACTTGTCTGGAATGTTCATATTTAGTGCCAGTTGAATTTTATATGCACACATTTTTGGTTCTGTTATTCAGTTAATGTTATGCAATATATTCGAAGTATTATTGTGGTTCTCGACTACATTTTGTCTAGTACTTTTTTAAACTCTAAAATGAAGTGTGAAAAAGTTTTATTTGTTTGTATTCAAAACAAGTTCTTTAAAGTACCTTTTGTTCATGTAACTTGTGATTACTTCAACTAGTAATAAATTAATAAGGGTGTACAAAAATAACACTAGTATGCAAGAGAGCCAACTTGATCACTGTAGTTTGTAAATTATGTATAAGTTGACTACTGCCATTATGTTTTTAGATTTGGATACCACAGTTACTCCTTTTTGCCTTTTGCTCTGATCCATCTGTCCTTGGTTCATGTGTTATGGCTATTTTGTTTGTCATTGATGTGGTTTCTTCTATTCTTTTGGTTTTTTGTTCACAGAATACTAGACTTGTTGTAGATCATTGTCGACCTTAGTAATTGTATACTAAAAACATACAGTAGAAAACTAGCAATTTCTTTCAACCAGTTGGGTTAGCTGCAATTTTTCTTACTATCACC